AAAAAACCTGCTAGGTATGCTAGTGATGATGAAACCAACTTGGTTGCTTATGCTCTTTCAGTCGCATAGGAGGTTGATGGTGATCCATCCTGCTATTCTGAAGTTTTTCCTATTGCTACGTTCAAGCAGAGCTTGAGTTTAGTCGACTGTTCCAGTTCTTAACTTTCACAGATGAATTTGATCCAAGGTGGAGATTGTTAAGACAATAATTTGTGGCTAAAATTCATGGAGACATTTTCTTTCATCTCCTCCACGTTGCATTCCACATTGCATGTCTGTCTCCGCATTTGACTCTCCTCAATTAACATGCCGTTTTTATCTCCTCATTTGAGTGTATAAATAGCATTACTATTTTGCTTTGTAAATGTACCTCATTACATCAATTTAGAATTGTTTCTTCTTTCTTGTCTTTTTCCTCACGTAGATAACATATATATATATATATATATATATATATATATATATATATATATATATATTTCCTTTTGTTTTAGAGTAAATATATATTTTATATATTTTCCTTTATTTGTCATTTTAATATATTTTCCCTATTTATATTATTTAACTTCCTATAATTCTCAATTTTTGATTCTTCGCTTCCGCATTATTCCGCTATATTCATAACACTTCGCAAGCCAATCCGCGGCTTGATTTTGTTCCCGCAAAATGTGGCGGCACTTAACATTCCAATTCTTCATAATCCAAGCCTTGCACTCAAAAATAATATTGTTGAGGGTTCCACCACCTTTGGTGTCAAAAAGAGGATTATTTATATAATTGATCACGTTGACGGAATCACTTTGGATCACAATATTAGAAAAGGCCAAGCTCCAAGCGACTTTGAGACCAGTGAGGACAGCACGTGCTTCCGCAACGTCTGCAGAACAATCCCCTAAGTCTTGCTGAAAGCCGGCAATCCATTCCCCACGATAGCTTCGCAAGATGCCACCACAACTTGCAGCATGAGCTGTCGGTTTACTGCTGCCGTCAACATTGATGGCGATCCAGCTCTCATCCGGCTTCTCCCAACATATCAGCGTCCTAGTCTGGTTGGCAGAAGTGTGGTTCGAAATCGGCGACCTCCAGTTAGCTTTGTAAACATTGAGACAGTAGTCTCTGATAACCGCCACCTTCTGATTAACATGAATAACCTCATTACTGAAAATATGGGAGTTCCTCCACTTCCAAATCATCCACAAGGATATACTGAAGGCAACATTCCAACTCTTGAAACCATGCTTAACTCCATTGCACTTGAGGTTGCCTACCATCCATTGCTTTCAGTCCAAGCAGAGGTCTCTATCAACAAGGTAAGGGGGGATGATAGCTTTCCAAACCTTTAGGGCAGCAGGACAGGATCTCAAGACATGATCAATATTCTCGCTACAATCGGGGCATAGGTGGCAAACGTTACTTGCAGTCATATGCCTTCTCATGCGCTCAGCGTTGCAAAGGATACTGTCATGCATAATCAACCATAAAAAGAATTTAATTCTATTTGGTACTTTGATTTTCCATATGATATCCCAAGAAATGTTGTCATCTTGGAGGCGATTCCCGTTTACAAGGTTGTACGCCGAGCTAACGGTGAATTTGCCCGAAGGATTCTGATTCCAGGAGATGCCATCTCTAGTGCTGGGATCATTTGATAGGAAAACTCCCCTAAGAGTTCTGATTATGTGTTGCGGTAGGAGTGTGACAAGGTGAGGCAGATCCCAGCCAGTAACTGAGTTCCAGTAGTCCCTGACCATCCAATCTTTTTCTATCGCAGGGATATCATTGGTAGCAACATCCTTGAGAAAAATATCACCCATCCAATTGTCGTTCCAAAATTTGGTATTTTGACCATACCCAATAGAGCAATGGATTCCCTCCTTTAGAATCGGGGCGGTCAACGAGATGCCTTTCCATGCATTAGAGTTATTGGGAGCCGGGAGAATCCAGTTGACATTAGGTTGGTCTCTAGTGTATTTAGCACGAAGGACTTTAGTCCAAAGAGCAGAGTCTTCGTTCATCAGTCTCCATCCTAGTTTGGTTTGGAAGGCAAGATTCATGTCTCGCGTGCTCCTGATACCAAGCCCTCCTTCTTTCTTGGGTTTAGTGACCTTGTCCCATCGAACCAAGTGGCAGCCTCTCTTACTGTCCGATCTTCCCCAAATGAATCTACGGACTTTCCTGTCAATGTTGTCACAAAGACCCTTAGGGAGCAGGTTAGTTTGCATAGAATAATAAGGAATAGCATTCAAAACTGATTGAGCCAACACATGCCGCCCAACAAGGGATAGGAATTTCGTTTTCCATCCTTCAAGTCTTGCCGAGATTCTATCCTCCACTGCTGCAAAGGTTTCTTTGGAGATCCTGCCATGAATAGAGGGGACACCGAGGTATTTTCCAAGCTCCTTTGTTAAGGGAATCCTTAGGGACCTCGAAGGCTCATCTGCAAAAACGGGGGAAACATTAGGAGTCACGAAAAGATTGGACTTAAGGAAACTTACCTTTTGACCAGAGCAAGAGCAGAATTTGTCCAAACAGTCGATGATGGTTTTGGCTTGCATTTCCGTGGCCTCTCCAAAGAGGACCATATCATCAGCAAAGCAGATATGGGAAAGAGTGGGACCATTCATTGAGACTTTAATTCCTTTCCAAGCCCCCGACGAGACCGCATTCTGGATCATATGAGACAACCTTTCGATGCACAAGACAAAGAGAAAAGGAGAGATGGGGTCGCCCTGACGAATTCCCCTGCTGGGTGTAAACATCTCCGAGCTTTCACCATTTCACAAAATCGATAGGCGAGCTGTAGTAATGCAAGCCATGATAATTCTGACCCAGGAAGGATTAAGGTTAGCTTCTTTGAGGGTATCGTGAATGAACTCCCAAGAGAGCCTATCGTAGGCCTTTTCAAGGTCGATCTTAACAAGCATGTAACCTTTTTTACCTTTGCAATACCTCATGAAGTTTAGAACCTCCTGATAGATAATAACATTGTCCGATATTTGTCTGTCATGGACAAAGCTACTTTGACAGGGGCCGATCAGCTTCGGGAGGATGTTTCTCAGTCTGTTGGCAAGAGTTTTAGAGATAACCTTATAAGAGATGTTACACAGGCTAATAGGACGAAACTGAGTAACTGCCCCCGGATTAGTCACTTTAGGGATCAAGGTGATACTGGTGTTATTTAAATTTTCCTCAATAACGCCCGAGTTAAGGAAATTTAAGGCCATATTGGAAAGGTTATTCCCAACAATATCCCAATGACGCTGGTAGAAGGCTGCAATGAAACCATCTGGGCCAGCAGCTAATATATGTAAAAAAAATTTATTTGATATCCGAACTAAATTTATATTTGTATATAACATAACTAAAAACATATCCGAATCAATAATCTATCGAATTCAGTCAAAATCTAAAACTTCTTCAAGTTTTAATTTTGATAATGTCTAACTTTTAGCATAAGTTATATTTATATAAGTAAATGCGAGTAGAAAAGATAGAATATGGGGATAAGTATAAGAATATAATAATGAATGTAATTATAGTAATGAATAAATATGTAAGTAGATAGATAACGGTGAAAACGTTATAGTGATATATTGTGAAATAGATAATAGATGATTCTGTCTTGAATTTAGAAAACAATTTTTTAAAATTCTCTAATTCTCTAGAAAACTGGAAAATGTTTTCAATTTTCAAAATGGAAAACTGTTGTATGTAGTAAACACTTTTTTTTTTTTTTTTTTTAATATTCTCCAATTCTACTAGAGGAATTCTATAGTTAGTAAAATGGTCATATATGTCTAGAGTTAATATATTATGTGTTTGTAGTTAACAAATTATGTGTTTGTAAACAAATTGAAGGCATACAATATATTAACTAGAGGCACATAATATGTTAACCATAGACGCGTAATATGCATGCAGTTAATATTATTAAGTAGCTTGGACTATCGAGCTAATCCCACTAAACTTCGAGCTACTCGTTCCAACCATCAGACTTGTTAAGTAACCCTATTGGTTTTGGTCTAAGAGCATCCATAACAGTTAGTTTTTTTTTTGTGGTTTTTTTTTTTGGGTTTTTTGTAAGTGTGATTAGGAAAGAGAATATAGAAGGGAAGAGAAAAAAAAAAAAAACAACAAAGCTGATTTAAAAAAAAAAAAAAAAAAAAAAAAAAAAAAACAACTTATGTGTAAGCGCTTTATCAGCGCCTGTAACGCGCCCGGTGGGCACAGGTGTGACAGCCACACGAAGTTGTCACGATTGGTGCATTTTTGTTGTGGGTCCCTTTCACCCTCTCTTTCTTGCCTCTCTCTCTGTTAATAATGTTATTATTCTTATTATTATTTCATCATTGTAATAGGTTAATAATTGTGTGGTGTTAGATTGCTTGACTTAGACTAGTCTATTAGTTAGGAGAGGTTTACGTTTCCTAACCTCTTTAGTATTGTAACATCTATCTTTAGGTTACTGAATTTGAAATCAATCTTCTCATCTAGTATCAGTTCTGCCTTAGGTTAGATCCTTCTATTTTCCCTCCCACTCAAACAGAATGTCGACAAATTCATCAGAAAGAACCATCACCAACGCCGCTCCACCTCCGGCCACCACCTCCAACCCTCTCTCCTCGGTACATCACTTTGTGTCAATCAAATTAACGTCCAGGAATTTTCTATTTTGGCGTACATAGTTGGTCCCGTTTCTACGGGGTCAGGATCTGCTAGGCTATGTCGACGACGAGATTCCGTGCCCACCAGCGACTATCGACGCTACTCCTTCCGCCGGCGAATCAACTTCCTACGTGGCTGCAATAGGTCCTGTACCGAATCTGGCGCACAAGGCGTGGGTGAAGCAGGACCAATCCATCCTCTCACTCCTCGCCTCTTTTCTGTCGGACGAAGTGATGCATCTGGCCATTGGCCGAAATACATCGAGGGAGGTCTGGGTCTCGCTAGATGAATAAAACCTCTAGCTGTTTAGAGGTCTCCGGCCAAAATTCAGAGCCATGGCTGCCTCACTCACGGTGTCAGGTAATTCGGTCTCCCTCCCGCAGTTGGCCGATTTCTTGCAAGCACAAGAGTTCATCTATTCTGATGAACTCCTGACGGCTATCGGCGGCGCCTCCAGTGGCTCTCCAACGGCGCTGTACACCGGCCGGGGCAGGAACCAGACGGGCAAAGGCTCCACTGGCTGGCGTCACGGCTTCAATGGCCAGGGACGTAACCGCGGTAATCGTGGAGGACAAGGTCGCGGGGGACTTAGTGTTCGCGGTGGTGGACAACCGAGGTGTCAGACTTGTCGATCACATGGTCACTCTGCGATCTACTACTTCAAACGCTACACCACGCAGCCACCGGCGCAAGCCAATCTAGCCGTCCCTGGCGACGATGCGGCGTTAACAGTGGCCGGTTCTTGGTTCCCGGATACGGGGGCGTCGGCTCATGCAACACCGGACGCCTCCATGATGTCGCAATCGGAGAAATACAACGACGAGGATGTCCTACGCGTCGGTAATGGCACATGTTTGGTTATTTCACGCGTTGGGTCTGCATCTATTCCTTCCGTGTCAAAACCCTTAAAATTGTCAAATGTGTTACATGTACCTAATTTGTCAGTTCCTTTATTATCTGTTCAAAGATTTACTAACGAAAACAACGTTTTCTTTGAATTTCATAGAAACTATTTCGTTGTGAAGGATTCAATCACTCGGGCAATTCTGCTTAAAGGGTCGGGCCCACTTCAGGTGGATTATACAGACTTCCGAAGTCTCAGTCGCATTTTGCACCTCTTAGTTCCCGTATCACTCCCATGATGTGGCATCGCAGATTGGGCCATCCTCACAGTCAAGTTCTCAATAAAGTGTTACAAAGTGTTAGATTGTTTGACTTAGACTAGTCTATTAGTTAGGAGAGGTTTACATTTCCTAACCTCTTTAGTATTGTAACATCTATCTTTTGGTAACTGAATTTGAAATCAATCTTCTCATCTCTCTTTCATGTTGGATCGTCTTCCCTGAAAAACCGTACATAATCCACAGATGTGGATGCTCTAAGATTTTATAAGTAATACTAGTTCTTTTACGCGCTTTGCGCGAATGTAATAATGACCAATGATTATGTTAACATAAGTATTTCAAAGTATATCAATGCAATATTATATTGGAGATGTTCATGCATAGGTAAATAAATATTGAATTTGTTTATTTTAAATCGGTAATTTAAAGTATATAAATGCAAGATAATATATGAGAGATTAATTATATTGTCACTAAACTAAATGTTTGCAACTTTGTAATAACGTTAGTCTAAAAACGATAGTATAAATAAATACTACTTTTGGTTTAAATTTTTCTAATTCTTCTTAATTCTCTTTTGGGTAGCATTGTCATTGTCTTCATCTTCAATACATGTCCTTTTTTTTTTTATTATTGGTAGTGTGTCATGTGCAATTGGGTTACTGGTGGTAGCAAGATGGATTCATCGTGCAATGAGATTATGCTGTAGGAAGCTTTAGATTTGCCTTGTTGTGTATATGATGAGATCTTAGTTGTACTATTAACTTTTTATCTTACAAGCACCTATTGATATTTGGTAGTGATAGTTTTTCTCCTACATGTTTCATGCGTTGTGAGATGTGTGTCGTATGTTATCATGTGAAAGTATTGAACAATATTAACATTTATTATATTTTTATAAAATACATGGTATATATATATATATATATATATATATATATATATATATATATATATATATATATATATATAACACTAATGAAATTATATCTCTTTTTAAATTTTTTATAATGAATAATTTTTTTTAAATAAAGGCATTATAGACATCTAATTCTAAATTAATTAAATGCATATGTATTATTTTTTGTTGTAGCTATTAATTTATTTAATTTAATAAGAGTAATAAATTGGCGTACATACTTTTCAAATCAACAATAATGAAATCATTAATTTTTTTTAATCTACATTCGTTGTTGAGACAAATTGTTTTGAGAGTTTGTCAATGACAATTGTTACAATTCCTATCAATAGAGGATAATAATAAATAATTCAAAATATATAGTTACAATAGGTATTGTTATAATGATATAGTAAAAATTAACTTACAAATTTCTTTAGAAGTTTTTATGCATTGATAAAATTCTGAAGTGTAAACTTGTTCAATTGGAGCCAGTGGGATGTCAACATTGTCAATTCTTTGGAAAATGGTCCTACCGTTTTAGAGTCCAAGTGTAATTGTATTTATGATCAATAACTTTATAGTTAGGTCGCGCAGGTCTGACAATAATATAAGAACAATTTTGTCTGATAAAAATAATAATAGTATAATATTTGTAAAGTAATGTACAATTGTACCATTATAAAAATACATAAAAAAATATTAATATCATAACGACCTAAATCATACCAATAATGCAAAAGTATAATTGAAATATTAGGTTTTGTTCTAATCTAAAAAATCAAAAGAAGATTAATTAAACGAAGATAAAAACTTAACCTAAATTTGTTTTTTTTTTTTTTTTAATGCATAAAAATCAAATGATTTTTAAAGTTCTTGATTTATAATCTTTGATGCTTAACTTTGAATGTAATGTATTTAGTGGGACTAATTATTTGACCAAAGTTTATGTTAAATTTTATATTATATATGGTACCCGGGTTGGACTTCCATTTGGAAGGTTGTGAGTTCGAGCTTCAGTGGAGGCGTTATTGGTTCTTTGTGTTTCAGTAGGTTAAGAAAGTATATAAACAGATACTACATTGTAATAGAGCCAATAGCATTCAATATATATATATATATATATATATAATACATTTTAACATATTTGTAGTATATGTTTAACAATTATGCCAACTCTACTTGGGATGGGGTTCGAACCTAAGACCTTTCTTATAGAAATTAATAAATAAGTTAAAAATAATAAATAGTTAACGAAATATTACGTTACTAAAGTTTATACTAACGGAATTTAGGTTATTTAAGGGAAGAAAATCATATAATCGAGGGTATATAATGAAAATCATTTTAAAAAAATACTAAAATCAAAATAATATGAACCATTCATTTTAAGAAACAATACCACCCACGTTTTTTTGTTCCAGTTAATAGCCTAACATTATTGGCTCTTATTATAATTGTAGATTGTAGATGTAGATGTAGATGTAGATGTAGAGATGTAGATGTAGATAGAAATATACATATATACTCATGTATACATAATTAATGCCGGTATGGGTAGCTCAACTAGTCATAGAGGTGAAACTTTGGAAGAATGTATACATAGTTAACCTGTAACATACTAACATGTGTACACACTACCTACATCTAGCATGCTATATATTCAGTGTGTGACCGAATGGTAGCTATCTACAAATTAAAGCCAATCAAAGCGGATCGGAGTTGATTAGACATGGAAACAACTGAGGATAATAGGTCTTCTACCATGTGGAGAACATTCATGCTCGTCTTCAACTGCATAATACTAAGCATAGGAAACTGCGGCGGTCCTCTTATCTCCCGCCTCTACTTCCTCCGCGGCGGCAGCCGGATTTGGTTCACAAGCTGGCTAGTAACCGGCGCCTGGCCGCTCACTTTAATCCCTCTAGCCGCCGCATACATTTTCCGACGCACAACCGAAGGCTCCACTACAAAGCTCTTCTTCATAACGCCGAAGATGTTCGCCTCCGCCGCCGCCATCGGCGTCCTCACCGGCCTCGACGACTACCTCTACAGCTACGGCGTGGCGAAGCTCCCCGTGTCCACCTCCGCGCTCCTAATCGCCACCCAGCTGGCCTTCACCGCCGGATTCGCGTTCCTGCTGGTGAAGCAGAAGTTCACGGCCTACTCGATCAACGCCATCGTGTTGTTGACCATGGGCGCCGGAGTTTTGGCCTTCGGCGCCAGCAGCGACCGGCCCGCCGGGGAGAACACCAAGGAGTATATTCTCGGGTTTGTTTTGACGCTTTTAGCGGCACTTTTGTATGGGTTTATTCTGCCATGGATAGAATTGATGTACAAGCAGGCAAAGCAGGCGATCACCTATACGTTGGTTTTGGAGATCCAGTTGGTGATGTGTTTCTTTGCTACTCTTTTTTGTACCATTGGGATGATCATAAACAAGGATTTCCAGGTAATCATCATTTTCACCTTTATAATAAATTTAATAATAATAATTAAAAAAAAAACAACTTATAATTCTTTACAGGTAATATCAGTTTTATAATTTTTTAAATTTTTTATTTTTTATTTTTTTACAATCAGAAATCTGGAAAGGTAATAGAAGTGTCATAGTAGTTGGTAGTTGATAATACAAAACAGATTTAGTAGTAGAGGCTTGATAAATTTCATTTCCTCAAAATTAGCGGTGCTTCTAAAGTTTTCTATATTCTACAGTATTTCAGACTTCAGAGTACAAAATATGTTTGGCTTTGCTTGTTAGAAAGGGGTAGGAATGATTTGACTAGCTCATTTTTTTTTAGAAAATTTAAAATTAAATTATATTAAAATTTAGAAATCAAGGGGTATTTTGGGAAAAATAGAAAAGTAAAAGTGTTTATTTTAAGTAAATGGACAATATTTTGAGACAGATAAAAAATGAAAGTAAAACAGGTAAAATGGGACGGAGGGAGGGAGTACCTACTAAGTTGAAACACTGCCAAAAAAATCAATTTTTCTTACATACAAAATCGTCATTCTTAACGTACTTTGGAATATAATTAAAACATTGGGAAAAAGTTACATTACTAATTATTGTTTTCTAACGTCAGACATCACTCTAGTAGTAGTGTGACCAGAATTTTATTTGATAACTGCAGTTTCTGGATTTTTATTCAAATGCAGAACAACACTTTAGGAATTTATAATACGTCACACTTTTGTTCTAACTTTTAATCATTAGATATAAGTTTACGCAGGTATCTGGGCATCCCACTAACTTTTGACTAAAGAGATTTAATGCATTGTGGTAAAATAGTTAGTCCATCAGTTAATTTTAATTTATTTGACCACTATACTATTAGCTGTTTGACTTGGTTAAGCAATCAATATAAGTGTTTGATTAATTAAATTATTGTTTCAAAATATTAAATTCAAAAAACTGCTCAAAATAGTTGTTTCAATAAGCTTTTTGAGAAAGTTATTTTGTGTGCAATAAACTATCAGCTAATAACTAATTTACCAAATATCTTTCTACAATAAACTATTATCAACTAGTCAAATCGACAAACGCAATCCGTTAACAACTATTTACCAAAAATCCCCTTAAATTATTCCGACCTACTTATACATAAGACCATCCTCATCTCTGAAACGATGAGAATCCGAATCATATGTCGTGGCAATTTTGTTTTGTGTGTGTGTGTGTTTTTTATAAAGAAAATAAGTTCAAATTAAACACGTACTACTTTTTGCCCTTTTTATTGACATTTTGCAACACTTTTAAACTTCTTTAAATAATATATTTAAATAATAATTATATTATATTTTGATAGTAAATTGAAATTGTGTGGGTGCAGATAAAATAGTAGAGTTGTAAATATATTGATTGTGGGCGTAACTCCATAACACAAGCCATTTATTCATATTGTTGACTAGTAACCATAAAATTACAAGTTTAACTCTAATTGGGTATGAATAACTTAGGATGGTTTATCTCTGGAAAAAAAAATAGCCTAAGATGGTATGAAGGAATTTTTTTAAAAAAAATTTACATCTTAATTTATTTTTTAAAAAATAATATTAAATACATCTACAATTAGAAAATGTGAGGGATGGAGACATGGACTAATATCTAACCCATTAAGTTAACATCTTCCAAAAGTTGTGCAAATTCCAACCACCACCTTATATTCTAAGATCAAATTATACCAAACATCATAATCACTATCCTTCGTCTTTAGCAATTGTTCAAGTTGTATGTTAAAGATTCTTAAGAGATATTTTACAATTTTTTTTTTCTTTTAACCAATCATTACAAATCACAGTCAAAAGAAAAAAACACACACAACTAAGAGTACAAATAACATTTTCCTTCTTATGATAATGAGATTCAATAATAATAAAAATAAATAGTTGGATGTACTCTTCAAGGGGTCCAACCAGTCACGTTTATACGACCCGATGGAGACATCTCATCAATTATTTGTACAGTAATTGGTTGGAATAATTCTTTTTTCTTTATAAAGTTGATAATTTAAGAATATTATTTCTGCGTTCACTTAGTTGTGATCATGGTGCACTGGGGGAATAGTATCAACTTTCGATGCATGCCAAACTCCATTATTAAATAATAAAAAAACTCCATTATAAGATCGAAACAAAAATGTAGGTTGAACTTTATGTGAGAACACTGTACTAGGCTCTGGACTAATCAGTTTTATATTTTTTTAAATAATTTAAACAACCCTAAATAAATATTTCAAGAGTACCTCGAGATCTTCATTTATTACTAGCTTGTCAGTTATTGTATACGTGGACTGTGGTTGATTGATTGTACATTTGTACAATATTTTAATTAGATTTTAATTTATTGATTTGAGGAAAACATCTTGACTTTAAGGTCCCTATTTTTTTTTGAAAGCAACTTTAAGGTCCCTATTTAATACGTACTTATCCCTAAACATTTGTCTTATTACTTTTAGGTATTTAATATTTTGAATGTTACTAGCTCTGTTACATTGTAGTATCTGTTCATATACTTTCTCAACCTACTTTTAGGTATTTAATATAATTTGCTTGAAACAAGGTGTATTTTGTAGGCTTGTAGCATGTTACATCTTTTTTCCCCTTCGATTTTTTTTTTTTTTTTATAATGTTATTGACTCTATTATATTACTATAATCTGTATATCTATACTTTTTTAATCTGTTGAAGTACAAAGAGTCAACACCGCTTCTACTAAGGCTCAATTTCATGACCTCTCATATAACAAAATCATTACATATTATCTGAGTACAAGATTAATAAAGCACTTCACTTTAGTGTGGTTATGTCAAAAAAGGAGATAGATGACACTTTTGATAATAAAAAAAAATCATCTTTTCATTTTAGAAATAAGACATCATATATATATATATATATATATATATATATATATATATATATATATATATATATATAATCAGGTGAGAACCAACCTTAACATGCGAACTGCGAACTTGTAAATGATTGCACTACAACTACTGCATAATTGCACCACAATTATATCTGGGTGCGGTGCAATCATGTAGTAAGTGCGTGCAATCCTTCACAAGTTCGCAGTTCGCATGTTAAGGTTGGTTCTCACATGATTAATATACATACATACATATATATATATATATATATATATATATATAGGGACGCACTCAGGTGCGAATAAGTGCCCAGGAAGGAAATGTGAACGAATCAACGCGTGACACGTGTCCAGATCTAATAACTTAAAAAAAAATGCGGTGGCATTTTCGTAAATAATTGAACATCGAAGTGCAAGTAAAATCTCTTACAAGTGCACATATTTTCACCTATAAGTGCATGTAATTTTGCCTTGTTAGCATTCACTTTCCGCAACCATTCATGCACCTGGGTGTGCTTATAACTATATGTGCAACTATTTATAACTATTGGTGCAACTACTTATAACTATATGTGCACCTACTTTCACCTATAAGTGCATGTAATTTTGTCTTGTTAACATTCATTGATCTGAGTTCAGCGGGTAGTAATACTCCTGAAAACCACTCGCAAACATTCATACACCTAGATGCAACTACTTATACCTATGTGTGCAACTACTTAGAACTATAGGTGCAACTACTTAGAACTATAAGTGCAACTAAGTATTGATACTCAGTGTAAATTTTTACTTGCACCTATAATACATTTTACATGCACTTGTAATACATTTTACTTGCACTTCGATGTTCAATTATTTACAAAAATGCCACCGCGTTTTTAAAAAAAATCAGTGTTTCTCATCCATTAGATCTGGACACGTGGACGAACAGAATCCATTCCTATTTCGCGCCTCGAGTGCAACTCTATATATATATATATATATATATATATATATATATATATATATATATATATATATATATATATATATAGTGTGTGTGTGTGTGTTTTGAAAGAAAAAATGTACTACTAATAAATGATCATTTTAATATAATGAATGTCCTGCAGTATACTAAAAATAAACTTGTATATCAGTAGTCTATCTTATAATGTGGAAGATCATGCATACTCTATGCTATAATGATTGATATTGAGAATAAAAATATTGAATATGTGTATGTCATATTATCCATAGTAAAAAAAAAACAAAAAAAAAAAACAAAAAACAAAAAAAAAAAACAAAAAAAAAAACAAAAACAAAAACATTATGATAATTAAGGAGTTGGTTAATATAATGGTTTGATTTGGCAGGCAATTTCAAGGGAGGCAAATGAATTCGAAATGGGAAAAGCGAAATACTATTTGGTGGTAATATGGACTGCCATCATTTGGCAGTGCTTTTTCGTCGGAGCCGTCGGTGTGATATGCTACGGTTCCTCGTTGTTGTCCGCCGTTGTAATCGCCGTCTTGCTTTCCGTCACGGAGGTGCTAGGCGTCGTCTTCTACGGCGAAAAATTCCAATCTCAGAAGGGTATCTCTCTGGCTCTCTCCCTTTGGGGTTTCGTCTCCTATTTCTATGGAGATTTTAAAAGTCTCAAGACCAACAAGACAATCAACAAAAGTCAAAACTCAGAGGCTCAAATGGCCCAAACGCAAACCCTTCCTATGTAATCTACTCCATTATTATATATATTGAGATTTCCAACAAAAATGGTCTCATTCAATAAAATTTATAGTTAGTTCCAAATACATTTGGGATTGATTTACAATTTGATGTATGAGTGTCCTGACTGTGATATTGTAAGGTAAAAGACAAGGAGTAAATACAGAGGTAGTACTGGATTCTTAGTATTTGTACTAAAAATTAAATGTGAAGTATAGTTTGGGATTTGCAGAATATAATGAAGAAACCTTTGGACTTGTTTGATTCAGACTTTTCGAGTTTGAACTAGTAGTGAATATAATGGTTGTACTTATTTAGATTGCGGCACTATGTATGGAATATAATTTTGGGTTGAATTAATTGTACGGCCATAATATGATATAGGCCCTGTTTGGTAAAAAAATTGGTATATAGGTCAATTTTAGCTTATTTGACCACTATTAATTGTTTGATTTAGTTAAAATATCAATATAAATGTTTGGTTAATTAGCTTTTTGCAACTCCAAAAGGCTAAAATTCAAAAAGTTACTCCCAGCAACTTTTTCAATTAGCTTTTTGAGAAAAAAATTTATACCAAACAACTATCAGCTAACAGCTAATTTACCAAACACTTTTCTACAGTCAACCAATGTTATCAACTATTTATACCCTCTAATTAACACAATCAGCTAACAGCTAACAACTATCAGCTAACAGTCATTTTACCAAACAAGACCAATGGATCGATTTGAGTCAAATCTGAACAGTCAATACTTTTTGTTGACTTTGAACTTAATCAAGATCTAATTTGTTAAGTTTGAAGTCAACGTGAATAAGCTCAATAATTTCTTTAAAAAAAAATCTTTCATTCAAGAAATTCTTATCTCAACTAAAATGCCCCCGCCTCCTCACGTCTGTGGGCCAACAACACGTGAACCGTAAATCATCTTGTTTTTTTATCGGGTGGCACTGAGATTTAAACACATGACTTTTAGCATCACAAATTAAAGCATGTGCTCCATCTCAACTAAAAATCTAAGCTGATAATTGATTACACATTAATGGTTATATATATGCTCAACACCCACAAATAAGGAAAACTTTTATGGTCATTTTCTACTTGCCCTAAAACAAATTAAAACATCCCAATACCCTTTACCCCATTTTACATGTTTATTATTTACTAGTCAAATCAATTATTTTTAGATTTGATTTGATTTTTTTTTTTTTTTTTTTTTTTTTTTTGTATTTGATAGTATATTTAATATAATTTCTTAATATGTAAATTTTACTAATGTTGAACTTAATATATATATATAGAATATAATAATTAAGTTTGAAGTGTACCATTTGAGATATTTGTTAGCTTAATTTGTGGAGTTAATGTTATGCATTTATAAGAACAGCTTATGGTATTCAATACACTAACCATTGAGCAGTTCATGTTGTTTAATAGTATTAATAATATATTCATGAAAATGTTTAGACAAACCATTGAACATTTGCATTGTTTAAGTCGTCTGGATGAGAAATATTAGACCTATTTATCAACTAAGTTGATAAATTTTAATTGTATAAATCGAAATCAAATAAGAATAACATCAGAAAATATAATTTATCCAACTCATTTCATAAATTGCACTATATAATATTCATTGTTATAATTTATATAATTGTACTAGTTTTTTATGCGCATTGCGCGATTGGGATAATGCCCAATATTTTTTTTCACTTTTTTTATATAAATTATTAATACTCGATTCTTTTCCACTTCTTTTTTTTTTTTTTTTTTTGGTTGCAAAAGCTTCCTTATATTCATATTCATTATATTAGTAGTAAAATAACGCATAGAAATAATTTCAGAACATTATGGTTTCTCGAATTACAGGTACTTTTTCATTTTTCCTTTTTTACTGCTAACCTTCTTATTATTAAGTGTTTAAGCAGTTTAATTGTTAAGCAGTGTCTTAGGATTGCTAGGAGCATTGGGAACGTCTGTGTTCGCCATGTCAGAAGGTCGGCGAATCAGATCGCTCACACGCTAGCACAGGTAGCTGGTTCATCCTCTATCCTTGGAGAGTGGTTAATAACGCCTCCTGATTGTATTTCCGATCAATTTTAATATATCGTTTCTGGTTTGGTTTCAAAAAAAAAAAAAAAAGAAGAAGTGTTTGGACAGTTTAAAATGGAGAATTTTGTTTTTTAATAATAGTATAGAGTATAGATTATTAATAACCAATTCTTTTCCAAATTTTTTTGGCAAAATCTTCTTTATATTTATTAGATTAATAGTAAAATAAGGCCATGTAATTTTAATCTAAATTATTAATAACTCATTTTTAATTTTTTTTTTTTTACAAAATCTTCCTTATATTCATATTCATTAGATTAATAGTAAAATAACGTGTAGAAATAATTTTAGAATATTATGACTTCATGAATTACAGATCTTCAAAAAAAAAAACAGATTCTTTTCCATTTCTTTTTAATAATACCCTTATTATATTAAGTGTTTGGGCGGGAAGTTAAAAGTGATGATTTTATTTTTAATAATAGTATTGATTGATTAGATTAATACTCAGTAAAATTACGCCCTGAAATTTTAATCTAAATTATTAATAACTGATTCTTGTTTTTTTTTTTTTTTTTTTTTTGGCAAAATCTTCCTAATATTCATATTCATTAGATTATTAATAGTAAAATAACGCGTAAAAATAATTTTAGAATATTATGACTTTTCAAATTACGAATTATTTTTCATTTTTCCTTTTTCACTTCTAAACTTATTATTATTAAGTGCTGGGGCGGGAATTTAAAATGGAGAATTTTATTTTTAATAATAGTATATAGTATAGATTATTAATAACCAATTCTTTTCCAATTTTTTTTTGACAAAATCTTCCTTATATTCATTATAGATTAATAGTAAAATAACACCCTGTAATTTTAATCTAAATTATTTATAATTGATTCTTTTTTTTTTTTGAAATTCATTAGATTAATAGTAAAATAATGTGTAGAAATAATTTTAGAACATTATGACTTCTCGAATTACAGATTTTTTTTTCTATTTTTTTCTTTTTTACTGCTAACCTTATTATTATTAAGTTTGACGAGGAGTTAGTAAAATAACTGTATTAAAACCCTGTATTTAATCTAAATTAATAATAACTGTTTTTTTTTTAAATTTTTTGTAAAATCTTTGTTATATTCATATTCATTAGATTATTAGTAAAATAACGGGTAGAAATAATTTTAGAATATTATGGTTTCTCGAATTACATATTCTTTTCCATTTTCTTCTTGTACGGCTAACATTATTATTAAGTGTTTGGGCGGGAAGTTAAAAGGGATGGTTTTGTTTTTAATAATAATATAAATATAGATTATTAACAACCGATTATTTTCTATTTTCTTTCACAAAATTTTCATTATATTCATTAGATTAATATTAAAATAATGACATGTAATTTCAATCAAAATTATAAATAACTGATTTTTTATTTCTTTTTTTGCAAAATATTCCTTATATTCATTAGATTAATAGTACAATAACATGTAGAACATTAAAGGGGCCATTTATTAATAGTTTGCTCCATTCACATGTGTGAGGATGGAACCCCCAACCTCATGGGTAAAGGACAATGTGCTGAACTACCACATCAACCATGTTAGTTATAACAACATTACTATGATTATATTCATTATCATCTTATTTTACTTATCACTATCTTCTATCTTTTCTACTTAATATACTTTACTTATTTAAACATAACTTATTTGCTTACACTTTAAAGTTAGACATTATTTATATTATCAAAGTTAAGAATTAAACTCTATATAATGTTTTAGATTTTGATTGAACTCAATAGATTATTTGTTTGAATATTTTTAATTATGTTACATCGTAATACAAGTTCAGTCCAGATATCGGATATTGAAATCTCACATATATTAGAATTCAAAGTAAAAGTTATAAATTCATATACATGTCATTCAAATGAATATATCTAAAAAAATATTTTAAATATTAGCTCAAAAAATATTAATATTATCTGAACTAAATTTTAGGTGAACTTAGTAGGTTATTAGTTCGGATATATTTTTTAGTTATTATGTTATATACAGATATAAATTTTGTTCAGTTATCAAATGTAAAAATCTTACATATATTAGACTTAAAAGTAAAAAAAAATAATAATAAAAATAAAATAAAAATTCATTTAAACCAAACATATGTAAAAATATTTTAAATATAAGATCTAAAAATCACTCGAAATTAAACTTGTATTAATTTTATAACGTTAATCTAAAAAATAAATTTGAAAAAGTAAGTGTTGGTAAGGAAGTTTTCTAAACAGAAAATAGAGAATGAAAACTGAAAAATTAGAAAACAGAACACATAGAACAATTTTCTGTTAGTCAACGGACCCTCTATGACTTCTCGAGAATTTTAATATAGTACAAATAAGAAAGTATGAAGCAATATATTCTATTAGGAATTGTATTGCACATTGTACAATATTACACAAATCTTAATAGGATAGAACTATTTTGGACAGGAAGTTAAAATAGAGGATTTTGTTTTTATTAATAGTATAGATATAGATTATTATATCCTCCTTCCGGCGTGTGAATCACTGCTCCTCCCTCTTTGTGGCCGATGTAAATGCCATGACTGACGAATTGAAAATGACTTTTTCGTCCAGATTCCATAGCCGACAAAGATGCCTTGGACGTTTTTTTCATTTGGATCCATGGCCAACGAAGATGCCCATGGCATCCTCGTCTGGATCAATGGCCAAGTGAACAAGGAGTATAGGGAAGTCCATGGAGAAGGCAGTTCATGTCGCTGCAAAGAAGTATATATGATGATGTTACTGTAGGTTTTACAATAACTCCATAAATCAAAATTATTGAAATAAAGTAATGGGATTCCAATTTTTAATTTTAGAAAACAATTTTAAACGGTATGATGGAGATATTCAAAATGACCCAATAATAGGGATCAGGGGTTTAGGAGTGCATAACTCGAGCTGTCAGGGTCCAAGACCCGGAGCAGGTCTCCGGAGCCAAGAGTGATGAGCCTTGACTTAGTCTCGTAGGCACACTGCATGGGCTTCGACTTAGTCTTGTAGGCTACCAATCGTTATGCCATGGAACCTTGTTCACCATCCATAGTGAACACGGTCCCAAACGGTAACGGTGCCTACGGGTACCGTTATCTTCCACCAATCATTTTTTTTTAATTAATAGC